GACAATTTTTAAGCAAATTGCTTGCTCTCTAAGTATGAAAATGAGACGTAATTGCCCAATGTATTTTCGAGTTTACGCTTCTCAATGGCCACTTTCCATTTGCACTGCGGGTAAAAGAAAAAAAAAACATCTCATTCCTGCATCCTTTTTAATTATCACATTGTCCCATTACGAGCATTCACATGGACTCTCAAAGCCTCTGGCATTTGCAATTTAGAGGCTCACCCAGTACAACCGGTGGATAACTCACCCGTACAACTGGCCCCGAGGATCAACATTACCCATAGCTCTACGGTAAACCCTGTAAGGCCAGATGCTGGCCACCACTGGCCAGGCAGTGCACATTATTTGGACATGGTCCAGGTATCCTATTAAGGGAGTCAAAAGGCAACCATCACCAATAATCGTGGTGGCGACCACCATATCCTTAATCTAAACAAATGATCTGGTGATGCAGTTGCATTGGCGGTGGTGCACAAGCAACAAAATACTCAAGGCATCTGTGAATAACACTACCTTAAAGAGAACAATGAAATAACAAGCGATGATTTGGGCAACGGGCCTTCTTCATTGTATGTGCTATGCAGAAGAGCAATTTCCTGTAAAGCCACCTACTATATATTTGTTAAAATTTTAAGGCCATAGTGGTATTGAAAAATTAGCTTGAGTTTCGTGTTAATCTCCCTAAAGTCTGCTGTGTTTTCAAATGCTCGCGTGCTCCGAGCACACGAAGACGGCATACTCGAGAACTCTATGACGCGGCACAGTGCATCGAGCTACGCCAGACGCTCCAACCGCGTGAATATCAACTCGACTAGATTGTTTGAATTTTTTTCAACGAGGCGACTGAGTGAGCGGTGCCACCACGATAGTATTGGATAGACATATGGCCCACACCGAACCGATTCATAATCTGTGCCACCCATCTCAGATGCAGTGGCATGCGACTTCGGATAGCCTGACCAGACCGCGGTCCACATTATGAGCTATGGTGAACCTCAGTTAAAGTCAGCGGAGCCACCGAAAACGTCTCTCCGCCTTCTCTCCAAGGTTGTCCCTGTAGTTATCAGACCTGGAATGACGCTTAGGAGCTGCTGATACGAAGCCATATACAATAAGCAGACGTATGCGCGCAAACAAAGTCTGGATGCAGTGCTCTCCAAAAGCTCCCAAATTGAGTGCTGTAAAATGTTGACAACCTGTGGCACACAATGTGCCACAGGTTGTCAACAATTTGGAGACGTGAAGAAGTGTTGGCCAGGGACGTTCACAGGTTACAGCGGGCACTCAGAAATGTTTCCTTTTATGAACCCTGTGTATTTTTACTTGGGCACATCTGTTCCCCATAGGTAAGAGCATGTCAAACGCAATTATCTACAATTATCTGCGAAGATTTCTTGCAGAATCACAATACAAGAGAACGTGTAACGTTTCATCGCGATTCTGACAGTTATGTCAACAGCACGTGTGTATTTTGCATGCACGGATGCGGCCAGCAGTGTTGAGAGTGTTGCGTGCACAGCGCTATATATCCTCAAGTCACCCGAGTTGCATTCCCGGTCAAGGTTAACACTGGTGGCAAGCGATTTGTGAACAAGCTCCGGGTCACCACCGTCACCAACCCACACTGAGCAGTGTGGTGAAGTGTGGTGAAGTACGGTCAAACAACCTCCCGGACCAACGCGGCATGGAGGAAGCCTTCATCCAGCAGTGGATGGCCGAATGGCTGCAAATTATGAACAATTATTGAGCATTAACAGCAGCCGGTGCAATATGCTTAAATCTGTTACGACTGGCCTTCAACTGTCATCCTTGGCTTCTCCTCGGATGACTCGGCCTAAACTGTGACGTGGAAACATCGGAGCTCGTGAGATAATGTCAGCCCTGGCATGGTGCTTGGCGCACTACCGCCTCATGCAGCTCGCCAAGCTTAATCAAGAGTGTTTCGGCAGCACTTACCCTAACAGTCGCCACTGGAGGAGTTATCTTTACAGTGCGTGTTATCCTATGTCTTTAGAACTGCTTTTTGTGTTCAGTTTGTCGTCCTTCCCACGCACCTCCGATTAGCACGGTCGGCCACGTACGGTGCGAAAGAAGTTCAACACACATCCGTATATACATCCGTAGGCAACACTAGCACGGCTGCCAGCGCAAGGGTCGGTGTACGGGGATACTCGAGCACCTACCTGGCATGGTACGCACTAGCTGCTGCTGGTGTCAATGTGAAACCATAACAGAGGTTCGTTTATCACCGAGTTTGAATAAACTCGACGGCAATGGGGAGGGGGGGGGGAAGGAATAACGAACAGAACTTGTGGCTGGCTGCCCCATGACGAATTCGTGTTTGAATGACCCAGATTTGAATTAACCATATTTCAAAACAGAATTTCCGTAGAGGGTGGCACAAGTCCTGGCAGTGTCTCCTTCACGCGCAGGCTCCCCCCAGAATATGTATTCATGGCGTGCACTGAAAATGCATGTTTGCTGGTTGATCAATCACAATTTTAAAAGTGCTCATGCAGAATGAAAACATGCATCAGTGCAGCCAAGCAACCCAGTTAATCCATTGATGTCCACTCCATTTATTAACCTCCTTCACCTCCATTAGCAGAATGTGTTGAAGCAGGTTATACAAAGTGCATGTCATACTCACACGGTGCATGCGACCGCTTTAGTTATGCGAATGATTTATAGATTCGCGAACGGTTCGGTTATGAATCTTTCAGGCACACCTGGGCCAGCCAAAAGAGAAGACTGCCCTCCTCTATCAGGCCATGTGCTCCGTGCCCCGTGGGTTTAGATGTATCGCTTGGGATGTATCTTGTTGTGGTGTTTTTGTTGTTGTTATTTTGGATCGAGTTGTAACCTGGTCGATATTCGTCCTTTTGTGTATGCTTGTATCCTCGCTGCACGCATTTCCTATTACTCTTTCTCTCATTAGATGTAAACTTCTCTTCACGCTGCTTGCGTCGCACCGCTCGACTTCATGAATTCCCCTGCCCATCGTCTCTCTCTCCCCACGTTGTTGGAACCTTGGCGGGATTCAAGAAAGACGAATTACCGCGCGTATGTTACGCCTTCGACGGTGCCGTTTGTTGCTGGCTACTTGGTGGCAAGGTTGGGGCCTTATGAGCCCTGTGCTCAGACACTGTGATCAACAAGAACAGCAAAACATCCCCTTTATGGACAATATTGAGCTGCGACGTCAAAGCGAAAGATTAATTTGCTTGTCGGCATTAATCAGTCTCCATTTGTATGCAGTATGTACATGGGGAAGATACAACTCCATATATACATATATGTTATGCAACGAAAACGTTTGACAACAAGTTTTGGCAGAGGAAAATAGGGGAACACATTTGTTCATCTTCTTTGATGTCACGTGAATTCCCATGACATTGAATGCACAGAGAAATACATGATTTAGAATAAAATAAAAATGCTTTTTGGAAAATCAAAAGCACTAAGTATTACAAGCGGTAGAGAAGTATTTTAAGGGCCACCCTCACAGAGGCCTTTGGCTTGCCATCGAACAAAGATGGTCACTGCATCACGCACTTTCAGATGCGCTTCTGCTGTCGCCTGGAACGCTCTCCCCCTTCCGATATTAGGAAGCCACTGGAGCTATGCACTTTTAAACCGAGACTGAAATCTCATTTCTTGAGAACTGCTTTTTGTGTTTTAGTTTGCTGTCCTTCCCTCGCACCTACAATTAGCACGGTTTGCTATGTATGGGCTCGCATAATGCACATGCATAATGTACTTTGACTCAGTAATCCCCCACCCCCCAACATTGTGCAAGAGCGCAGCTGCGTGGTCACCACATCTAACGCCTCTATATAAGGAACGACACAGTAAGACTTCTCCACAAATCTGGCTGTCGCCTGATGAAGCTAGTTGTAATTACTGGCGAAACGTCGTACTCAGATTGTAAATGTTGTGGCTTGGCTCTCCAGCACACCGGTGTGCTGTACTAGTGACGAATGGGCATGTTCTGTTTACGTGACGACCCTTACTAGTTGGCTGTGTTGGGTGGTGGCGGGTTTTAACGACACATTTATATATTTACGTGATCTAACCCAAAAAAAAACCTCTATTATGGATATTGGCCGCGAAAGCCTACGTGTTAAACTGGTGTGAAAGAAGTTCAACAGACATACAACAGCTCTATTCCTTTAAGATACGCAAACCATTTTCTAACCCTTTTCATGCCACTAATGCAGCTGAAATACAGGATGTTGAAATATGCATGCCCATAGCTTATCATCCGCACCAAACACATTTCAAGCATGCGTGCGCATGTCCGTGAGTGTGTGCGCGAGAGTTTCTGGCGTCGGGGTTACCGCACAGCGCCGCTATTAATTACTGGCCACACACACACATACGCAACATTAGCGGCCATTAATGTTGAAAGTTGTCTTGGGCGTCTCCCAAAAGAACAATTATCTCATGCATTGTTGACAACAACGGCAGCGCCGGGGAGACAAAGGCAAGCGGGAACGGTGTCGTCGAGAAACAAGATTGCGAGTCGTGCGAGCCGCCTTCATCGGTGTTCGCTAACTGCACTCACCCCGAGCGGTCTGCCGAGTCTAAACTCCGGACCTTCGTGAGTTTGCATCTCTCCCTCTGTGTTTCCGGGTTGTACCGCGTGTTTGTTCGGCTCGCCGTTCGACGTTTCGCTCCGCGTGGCGGGAGCTCCTTCCTTGAAAGCGAAGCCTTTCATCTCCTTCAAGGAACTATCCAGTTCCCAGCACGTGGAGCGAAGCGTCGGAAAGTGGTGCCGGACAACGCGCGCTTTACGACGCAGGGCGCTACGCAGCGAGGAAAGCGGAAAACCTCACGTGGTTGCGTCCACACCCTGACCTGGCATACGTTGGTGGCAGACGCTTGTCCTTGCTCGCGTTTGTGCGACCGGCTACGGCCTATGTCCTGGATCGTCGTTGCAGATTGTAGGTTCCAGGGTTAAAAAAAATCGAGGCTTCGTTGAAATCCGCACTGACCTGTAATAACCAGTAGCACCTCCTGTGGAACGTCGGAATGATTGAAGAATGCACGTAGCAGCCGTAGAGACACTGCGAAGGAGAGAAGGAATCCACAGGGGAAGGTTGGGGCGACAACAAAAAAAGAGACAAATGAGCCCATTGAGTCAGAACGATGAAGGAAAAACATCACTTGCATACACATAAATAAACTTCACTTACAAGTGGTAAATTGCGCTTCTTTAATAAATTATCTCGACAACAAGATTGAATTTCCTCTGCAGATGCATTTACAGCGATGCCTTTTGTACGTTGTATTTTGTTTGTGACTTGGGAATTTGTTTTGATTAGGGTCCGGATAAAAGAATGCGAGAATTGCGAGGCAACACAGGTGCTTGATGACTCAGCGGTCTCTTGTCTGTGTTATCGGAGCTTTAAACCCCTCTAGAGCAGTGGTTCTCAGTGGAATGGGGTGCCCGGTACCACTGATGGTCCGTGACAGTCCTCCAGGTGGTCCGCGGGGCTGTGATGCAAGCGCAGGTTGATCAAGAAATAATGGCAATTTGTTTTGGACATTAGATTAACATTTTACTTACGATATTTAATTGTAAAAGTTAGGTAAATTACCCTATTTAAACGACCCTAACCACAAGATCCACCCTCAAAATAAACTTATGGCTGCATTAAAAAAAAACAGTTTTTATGTTCCGGTAATATGAATTATTTTGTATGAATAGTATTTATAGAGATAAGTGAATGCGTTTGTCACCAGGGGTGGGGCGGGCGGGGGGGGAGCTGTGTGGGGTCCGTGGAAATGTTTGCATCGGCTGGGCGGTCCGCGAGCCAAAAAAAGTCTGAGAAACACCGCCGCAGAGGGCTCGGTTTGACATTAAACGTTGAATTGCAACTGACCGTGGGCATGCGGTTATATAAAGGCAACGGTAGAACAGGTGTTCCGTACACCGAATGAGCGCAACGCAGCTGGCCAAAGGTCTCGATTCTCTCGCGTGGGCACCTGCAGTCATATTTATCACATCGACTGGGGCAGTTGGAAAGATTGGGCTACTCACACTTTTCCCCCCACTAACAAAAAAAAAAGCTTTACAATGGCACATCAAAGGCAGCGACGGACGAGTTAAACTTTTCCTCGAGGTTCCATCCACTTTTGTTCTAATCTTAAATTATATCTGAAATTATAACCGTAATCTTTTAGAAACCACGTTTGCGCATGTCAAATGGGGGGCGGGGGAGGGGGAGCACGTAATGGGAAGGGGACCCTTGAGGTCGGGTAGAGGTTACGAGCATCAACTGATTCAAACTGTCATACATAACTTGACTTGACAAGACATTTAAAATTGCGAGCGGTACAAACACAGCATCTCATTTTTTACAAGATGCTTTTTTTTTAGATGATTCAGCACTGTTTGACACATTTGCTGACATGTGCGACACTACGATAACCATCAACATCATCATCATCATCGTCGCATTAGTGCCCATTCAACACCTCATACCAATGGAGAGTTGTAATAAGCTGCATATTATTATTGTTGGAGGTCACTGCAAGAGAAAGTGGAATATTAATTTTGGAAGTCCACCCCCCCCCCGCCACCTCCATATCTATTGTGTAGCTTTTCACGGCTAACTTTTTTTTCACGTAGTCTTTCAAGCCGAGACTTATGTAACCTTGGGGATTGCCCGGTGCGGTTTTATTGAGACACTACACACGAGCCCTTGGGAAGTCACCCCCATCTGAATTATTACACTAAGTGGTATCCTCCCTGATCCATTATACGGTCCCATCATATGATGCATGGACGTGCCATTTGACTTTAAATAATCCCACAAAACGAACACCCCTCTTTTTGAAAGACGCCCGGACAATCTCTTGAAAGACGTCGCCGAATCTCGCGCCGCAGCAGAGAGGCACGAATAAGCGAGACGGAAAACACCTCGCATCCTCGGTGAACCACGTGTACCCCCCCACCCCCCATTTAGTCTCCCCCCGTTTTACATCGTTTCGCAAACACGTCGTCACTTTATTGACACCGCGTCCCGATTTTCATCGCCTCAACCCCCACACACACGCTCACGTCGCTGACAGCGTCGTTGTCCGTCCTCTCTCGTATCCGTCACCTCTCAGCCTTCGCCTCCACCCAACCCGGTCCTGTGAATCGCTTCGATTGACGTCGTTTCGATATTCGTCGGCGCACCTTTCAAGAACGCATCCCAACGTATACCGGGGTATTAGTGTTCTGCAAGGGCGTGTACACATCGCAGCCAACCCCCCCCACCCCCCCCCCCCCCCCACGTAATACAGAGCTGTATATCAATGATGCTCCGCAGTGAACAACACATCGAGGCTCAAAATAAATCCGGTCACGGGCGCGGAGAACATTTGATGTATTGCGACGTATCGAAGGTCTCTGGGTTCACCTCGGATCGAACTGGGTTCGTGTAAATCGATTCAAATTTACTTGGCGATACGGCGTTGGCAGTGGTGCACAAGCACAACTAACAAACAACTCAACACATTCATCAATAACACTGCGATGAAAGGAAGTGTGGGGGGAGGACATAATAGGTGGTGTTTCGGGCAATGATCCTTCTGCACAGCAGAAAGATTTGATTAGGGTCAATCCTCATGCTCTCGGCACATATTAATCGAAATGTGCCCCTAAGGATCAGCTTCTGATGATACGTGCAAACAATCGGCCGGTGGCACCGTGAGGTTAACACATTTGTCCTTAACCAGGGGTGCACACACCCCTTGAGGGTGCGAGATGCCCTTTCTGTGGGTGCGAGACATGGCCAGATTATTTTAGAAGGTAAACCATCGAAACACAAATTAAGCACGGGCACGTGAGTACAACTGCTTTGTGTCCTCAAACCCTCCGTGTATTTATTATTATTATAAAAAAAAACATTTAACGACTGAGAACCAAAGGGGTGCAAGGCCGCAGTAAAGGTTAAGGACCACCATGTGAACAGAACGAGTACGGTGGAACGCAACGAGGTAACATGTGAGGCAGAGAAGTTGACAAGGAGAGGACCGCCGTCTGCGTCGGCTCTCGCAATCGCGCTCTGCGGGTCGCGCCGCCACGTCGATCGGCACGCTGTCCAACGTTTCGTTCCATGCCCTGCCGGTGAGGATTATTGGTCCCCCCCCCCCCCCCCACGAGCGGCGAAGAGTCGGACCACAATGCCGAGCGACACGCGGAAGAATTCGCATTCGAGTAGAAACTAAAACTATAAACTAAGCAATTTTTATTTTAGCAGGTAAGGCCCACGAAGCCGTGTAGCTCTTTTTCAGAAGCGACCTGGCCACAAATGATAGCTCAACCAAGTGGCTTATCAAGTGGAAATGTATAGCAGCCAAATTCTCTAAACGCGTGGTGATGTTGATTCTAAATCTGGAGGGGAAAACTGAAGGACCCGAAGAAAAATCCACGCGACCACGGGCAGAGAGACACGCAAACTCCTAATATACAGCAGGAGTCAGGGTCGGAATCGACCCACGACCTCCTGTATACCAAGCGAGGGAGTTAACATATCGCCGCCACCGTGGCTCCCATATATCTGGGGTGAGGGTAAGCGGGGACTGCATCACGCATCATTTGCAGTTTGAGGGCTACGATTGCTGCTGTGCAGAGAGAGCTTTCGACGATGATGATGATGATGTGAAGAGCTGAATTATATCGATTAGCCAACGTGTCAGAGAGAAGAGATGTACACACGACGGCTATTGTGCTCACAAGCTTATTCGTACAAAACAAGCCTTTCAGCGCGCTAACAGTTGAAGCTTCCCCTTGCCGAGGCTGTCACTAAGACATATTCAAAGATGCACCCACGCTGCACCACTTTGTAATGCTTGGCGCAACTTTGCCAAAGGCTACGTTGAAAAAAATATAGATATATCAGGTTAAAGACTTTCACGTAACAGCCTTGAGCACAAACAATGGGCTGGTAATCTGCAGCTGAATACCAATTTACAAAAGCTCGGGTGCAACTGCGCCGATCAACTAAGCAATGACGTTAACAACTGGCGCGTCGCTGTGCGTGGTAACGGTTATAGAGGCGCAGCCCTGAAGTCTCCTGCTCAAGACCACTGCGGCACAAGGGCCTCTTCCACAAAGCCCCCTTCAAGATGGTATTTTTCGGGGCCTACCCTTCCACACTGGCCAGACGTCTTAGGAGACGTGGGAGTAACCCGTACTTAATCCCAGCACAAACACGTGACACCGCTGCGCTGACAAGGTGCGGGGTGGGACGGGCGGGCGGCGGATTCGTTGTCATTCAAAGCGAGTGACTCCACACGCCTCTTTGCGCACTTTTCACGGGAGTATCCCGCATTTGATAATAACAAACAATGACAAAAACTACAATGCTAAATTTCGATTTAAAGCTTTCGTGACTGCAGGGATTCATATTCTTGGTTCTTTCGGTAAAGTCACGTAGAAGGGAAACAATAAAATAATAAAAATAAAACAATAAAATTCTCACGACATTTCGATTGCAGCACAAGCAATCATCATCAGGTGTGAAAACCACGGCAAGAAAATTTGAAAAAAGTGGCTTTCACACCTGATGATGATTGCTTGTGTTGCAATCGGAACGTCGTGAGAATTGTATTGTTTTATTTGTATAACTTTATTATTTCCCTTCTACGTGACTTTACCGAAAGAACCAAGAATAACTACAATACTAATTAAAACAAAGTCTATTGCGTATAAAAAAAACAAGAGCAAAGCTAGTCTCTTGTATGATCTTTATCAATAGCTCACAATGTGGTTTTCCTGTTAATGTTACTATCGCATTTGAGGGTGTACTTGGCTCCATGCTGGGTGGCGGCTGGAGCCGGCCTTCTGCATTCCAACGCTGCGTTGCCGTTTCCCTGCAGTTATTTTTTTGCAACTGATCTGTGAAAGCACGCATTTCTGGAAGTGAGCAAAAAAAACCCTGAAAATTGTGCTCAGTCCGTCTTGGGCCATTTGTTCACAACGCTGGGGAAACAACCCCTCTCTATCGCCAGGGGTTTATGTTTGGAAGGGTTAAGTGCTGTCAGAAGCTGTTTAGCAAAAATGGAAAGTGAA